CCTTTCTAACACGTTTGCGTAGACTTTACCTGGGAGACTCAATAACGTTATGCCCCTATAATTGGAGCATTCCTTATGGTCTTCCTTCTTGAATACGGGTACAATAACTCCCGTTCTCTTCAGTGTCTTTCCCGCAGTCATCGCAGTTTGACAGACACGTGTTAGCCAGCACATTAATTGTTCGCCTAATGCCTTGAGCATCTCAGGGCAGATTTCGTCAATTCCGGCAGCTTTTCCATTTTTGAAGCTTTTCACAGCCTATGCAGTTTCATCTACAGAGATAGTAATATCCGTACCCTTCTGCTCTACAGGCGAGTCTTCCTGCTGTTGCGCGGAGTTAAGGAGTTCCTCAAAGTACTCCCTCCATCGCCGAAGAATGTCGTCATCCTAGGTAAGACGGTGTCCACATCTGTCTTTCAAGACTCTGAGACTGCCCTTCTTTTTTTTCACCACGGAACCGTCGGATGGTGTGCCAGAATACTTTGTTTGACGTGTGGAAATTCGACTCCAACACCTCACCGAATTCCTCCTAGGAATCAGCCTTGGCTTTTGCCACTGCTTTGGCTGCTGCCTTGCGTCCCTCGACATATCGGACGTGAGTACAAGACTTTCTTTTCAAGCCATTTCTTGAACGCTGCTTTCTTCTCTTTTACTGTCAGTTGTGCCTCTTGTGTCCACTGGGAAGATTTTTTCTGACCTTCAGACGGCAGGTCAACCCGTTTAAATCCATGCATTCTGCCGCAGCCTTGTTTATCTAGCCCTTAAGGAGCTGCCTCTCGGTTTCCACATCGGTGGTCATCACCAAGATGTGCTTAAATCGTCGTGAGTTGTTGTTTGCAAATTGCAGATTTCGCTCTCATGTCCTCCGTAGATAATGTTTCCCATTTGATTCTCTGGTTGCTTCTGCCACCATATCTTCGTATGGTACTCCATTTCTTACAGCGCAGCGTTACAACAACAGGGTGGTGATCGGTTGAGAGCTCTGCTCTTCTCTTAAGGCGAACATCCATTGCAGAGCGTCGTAAGCCAGAGAATACGATTATCAATCGACCTTCGACTTCTGTGCATAAGCTTCCCGGCACCATGTATGCTGATGCTCTTTTCGATGCTCGAAGAAGGTGTTCATAATGGACTATCAGTTGTTTGCACAAAACTTCATTCCGTTATTGTTGAGATCGCAAGGGCCGTTTTTTTTCAGTCACGCTGTTTTACGTTTCTGCGTTTACTCCAACATGCGCATTCAATCGACCATGTGTATGAGCGATTCTGTATTCAGCATTTCGGACTGTGCGCACTGCACTTCCTCAAGAAAGATATCATATTCTCCCTCCAAATTGGATGCTTAGACCTGTACTGAGGTCAACGCTTTAGCTTCGTATATCTTCAGTCGGAGGATTATCCCCTTTTGCTGACAGACTTCCAATCAATGGTTCTCTCTGCGATTTTGGATTCTACCATAACTCCAACATCGGCCTCAGCGCTTGTAATGATATCAACTCCTGAATAGAATATCTTCCACCCGTTGAGGTTCAGGAGTCCAGAGCCTGGGCGTTTTATTGACGAGAGTCCAACAATGTCGAGTTGGTACTCTATGGCCTCATCAACCAGTTCTTGTTCTTTTCTTCTGAGTGAGGATATGTTCCAATTTCCGACTTTTATCTCCCACTGGTGGTGTCGTTCTCGTGGAGCCTTTTCTGATGTACTATAATGGCATCGCGCTGCCTGCCTCTGCCGTTCAGAGCGGGTAATGACTCCGTTGCTGACGTGTGCTTATCGTCGTTCCGTCGGTCTTTGTCAGCGTTGTTGTGCTCCTATGCCCCTGACTGTCAGAGGGCGATGAGCATGTTCTGTTCGCCGATTTTTTTCTGTCTGCCTCAGTCCCCCGTCAGTCTGCGCTGTTCTTGGTAACCGGGGCGAGGACCCAGCCCGTATAATATTCGATGGTGTCTACACCATGAGTGCCAGGTAGCTAAATTTTGCGGAGACTTTGCCAGGGTTTCCAACCCTTCTCCTTTCTTAAGCGGGCTTGGGAGCGGCAGTGGCGGAGTTGCCTTGAATTTTGAATAGTT